CATTTAAATTGATGGATACAGTGAACATTTAAATGGATGAATACATTTAAATTGATGGACACAGTAAATGCCTAAATTGGTGGAACTGAGTGACAATATCCAGGAGAAACTTTAGTGTAAACACTTAAATAACACGTCTTATGTAGTAATATGAGAACAAAGATATCAGTACCATCATCAGTCATGTAAGTGAGGGTTAGTCTATAGACAAAATACTCACCAATAGTAAAACCATTTAAAGGGTAAAACAATACACTGGGTAGGACAACACCACAATCCCAACCAGGTAGTTGTGTGTAGGATATGATATACAACACCACAATCACAACTTATCAGGTAGTTGTGTGTAGGATGTGATATACAACACCACAAGCCCAACTTATCAGGTAGTTACAAGTTGTGTGTAGGATGTGATATACAACTCCGCAATCCCAACGTATCAGGTAGTTACAAGTTGTGTGTAGGATGTGATATACAACACCACAACCCCAACGTATCAGGTAGTTGTGTGTAGGATATGATAAACAACACCACAATCCCAACTTACCAGGTAGTTGTGTGTAGGATATGATATATAACACCACAATCCCAACTTATCAGGTAGTTGCAAGTTGTGTGTAGGATGGGATATACAACACCACAATCCCAACTTACCAGGTCATTACAAGTTGTGTGTAGGATATGATATACAACACCACAGTCCCATCCTATCAGGTAGTTGTGTGTAGGATGTGATATACAACTCCGCAATCCCAACGTATCAGGTAGTTACAAGTTGTGTGTAGGATATGATATACAACCCCACAATCCCATCCTATCAGGTAGTTGTGTGTAGGATATAATATACAACACCACAATCCCAACTTACCAGGTAGTTGTGTGAAGGATGTGATATACAACACCACAATCCTAACTTATCAGGTAGTTGTGTGTAGGATGTGATATACAACTCCGCAATCCCAACGTATCAGGTAGTTACAAGTTGTGTGTAGGATGTGATATACACCACCACAATCCCAACTTACCAGGTCATTACAAGTTGTGTGTAGGATATGATATACAACACCACAGTCCCATCCTATCAGGTAGTTGTGTGTAGGATATAATATACAACACCACAATCCCAACTTACCAGGTAGTTGTGTGTAGGATATGATATATAACACCACAATCCCAACTTATCAGGTAATTGTGTGTAGGATGTGATATACAACACCACAACCCCAACGTATCAGGTAGTTGTGTGTAGGATATGATAAACAACACCACAATCCCAACTTACCAGGTAGTTGTGTGAAGGATGTGATATACAACACCACAATCCCATCCTATCAGGTAGTTGTGTGTAGGATGTGATATACAACACCACAATTCCAACCTATCAGGTAGTTGTGTGTAGGATATGATATATAACACCACAATCCCAACTTATCAGGTAGCTGTGTGTAGGATATGATATACAACACCACAACCCCAACCTATCAGGTAGTTGTGTGTAGGATGTGATATACAACACCACAACCCCAACGTATCAGGTAGTTGTGTGTAGGATATGATATACAGCACCACAATCCCAACTTATCAGGTAGTTGCAAGTTGTGTGTAGGATGTGATATACAACACCACAAGCCCAACTTATCAGGTAGTTACAAGTTGTGTGTAGGATGTGATATACACCACCACAATCCCAACTTACCAGGTCATTACAAGTTGTGTGTAGGATATGATATACAACCCCACAATCCCATCCTATCAGGTAGTTGTGTGTAGGATGTGATATACAACTCCGCAATCCCAACGTATCAGGTAGTTACAAGTTGTGTGTAGGATATGATATACAACACCACAGTCCCATCCTATCAGGTAGTTGTGTGTAGGATATGATAAACAACACCACAATCCCAACTTACCAGGTCATTACAAGTTGTGTGTAGGATATGATATACAACACCACAGTCCCATCCTATCAGGTAGTTGTGTGTAGGATATAATATACAACACCACAATCCCAACTTATAAGGTAGTTGTGTGTAGGATATGATATACAACCCCACAATCCCATCCTATCAGGTAGTTGTGTGTAGGATGTGATATACAAAACCCCAATACCCACTTATCAGGAAGTTGCAAGTTGTGTGTAGGATGTGATATACAACTCCGCAATCCCAACGTATCAGGTAGTTACAAGTTGTGTGTAGGATATGATATACAACACCGCAATCCCAACTTATCAGGAAGTTGTGTGTAGGATGTGATATACAACACCACAATTCCAACCTATCAGGTAGTTGTGTGTAGGATGTGATATACAAAACCCCAATACCCACTTATCAGGAAGTTGCAAGTTGTGTGTAGGATGTGATATACAACTCCGCAATCCCAACGTATCAGGTAGTTACAAGTTGTGTGTAGGATATGATATACAACCCCACAATCCCAACCTATCAGGTAGTTGTGTGTAGGATATGATATATAACACCACAATCCCAACTTATCAGGTAATTGTGTGTAGGATATGATATACAACACCACAGTCCCATCCTATCAGGTAGTTGTGTGTAGGATATAATATACAACACCACAATCCCAACTTACCAGGTCATTACAAGTTGTGTGTAGGATATGATATACAACCCCACAATCCCAACCTATCAGGTAGTTGTATGTAGGATATGATATACAACACCACAACCCCAACCTATCAGGTAGTTGTGTGTAGGATGTGATATACAACACCACAATTCCAACCTATCAGGTAGTTGTGTGTAGGATGTGATATACAACTCCGCAATCCCAACGTATCAGGTAGTTACAAGTTGTGTGTAGGATATGATATACAACCCCACAATCCCAACCTATCAGGTAGTTGTGTGTAGGATGTGATATACAAAACCCCAATACCCACTTATCAGGAAGTTGCAAGTTGTGTGTAGGATGTGATATACAACACCACAATCCCATCCTATCAGGTAGTTGTGTGTAGGATATGATATATAACACCACAATCCCAACTTATCAGGTAGTTACAAGTTGTGTGTAGGATATGATATACAACACAACAATCCCAACTTATCAGGTAGTTGTGGGTAGGATATGATATACAACACCACAATCTCAACCTATCAGGTAGTTGTGCGTAGGATATGATATACAACACCACAATCCAAACCTATCAGGTAGTTGTGTGTAGGATATGATATACAACCCCACAATCCCATCCTATCAGGTAGTTGTGTGTAGGATGTGATATACAAAACCCCAATACCCACTTATCAGGAAGTTGCAAGTTGTGTGTAGGATGTGATATACAACACCACAATCCCAACTTATCACATTGTTACAAGTTGTGTATAGGATGTGATATACATCAGCACAATCCCAATCGGATTGTTACAGACTTGGATGTATCTATTTACATGTATATTAAATATAATTGTTAATAGCACAAGCTGTTTCCAAGATGGAGTCCCATGACTGATTGACTATTTGTATAGACTGAATATCTAAACGTTACCTGCTAACTTTTCCATTAAAAATGATAAATAGGACTCGATTAGTGATACGTATTTTAGGAATAAAAGAGCAGTGTATACATTCATAGTGTAAATTTCACATTTGAAGGCACAGCATTTTTAATCTGCCTTCTTATTCATTCATTAATATTTAAAGTGAACCCAGTAAACAATAAATATTTATATGTGTACTAAGGCACAGCCTCAGTTATAATATCTGTATTTGTTCTTAGATATGAACTCCTTACAACGAACTCAGCCTGTTGTATTTACTTGTATTTGACAGGTAGATGTATAAACTCGTTACCATGGACACAACCTGTTGTATTTACCTGTATTTGACAGGTAATATTGTTATGGTCCTATTTCACACATTTCTATTGCTGACAAACTTACATGAAGCTCTACAGGGCTGTATTAAGGTTGTCATCAATAGCAATGTGTGTTATAGGACCATAACAACATTTGCTAAAGCATTCATTACGTAGGTTCATGTGGCAGGTGGAGCGGGCCGTAGAGATGGGGTTGTCTTCTCGCGACTGCTCCTGGATCCTAGGCCATACCTACATCACACACGATTTAACATTTACATAGAGAGGGGCAACCTTATTGTCATGCATGTGATCGGCCATTCACAGTCAAACAAATGTAAAAGTGTATTTAAAACAGTTTCTGTTCAATCACTATGTGATTATTTACACACAATTGATCTTTATAATAATATCTGATATGATTTACAACCAATTCATTCCCTGTTGATATATTTTCAGACTTCTAGTTTGATGAATTTATTTTTTGATTGCCTATTTTAACTTGTTGTTTGGCCCTAAATGACTTGCATTGTCGTTGGGTCGACTATAGCTATCATTATAACCACTTTTGCTCATGTCTTGTCTGTGAGAGTTAAAGGAAGTTCAACAAGATGAGACGTATATTGATAGATAAAAAAATAATTAACCTGGTATGTGTCTACCACAGCAAAAATCAAAAATACATTTCAATATTTTCGGCGTTATTTTTTAAGAAGACAAAGTAGATCCGTTTGGTATTGAAAACATTACTTAATTCCAACGCAGGAACACAGATCGATAACCAAACACAACCACATGTACACACTAGAAGCAGGTTAGTATTTCTGGTTATTGACCTCGTGCAGTCGTCAGAAAAAACTGAACTAGTCAACCTTAACATAGTGTCCATACAATATCAATGTGTATTTAACTTTATGGTGAAATCTTTAACACTGGTCAGTGCACGTATTTTAAGCTCAATATTTGAATAGCTCTGAGAATCAATAAGAAACCCAGTAAAATCTCCCGTATGAAATGCTGTTTATGTAAATTCAATAATTGCATGGTTCTATCTCAGTGCATGCAATAAGTACACCTAGTTCAATTAATCCTGTCTGGTATGTGTCTGTACACAGTACTGGTACCTGGGAACATACATGTGTACAGTGTATACATTACTGCTGTCTAGGTAGTACTGTATGTAGTGGAGACCTCTGGACAACTCGTACATAATGATGTCTGGGTACCTGTCTGTGGTAATGGACGACATCTAATGTAAATGTGTGGGGGTTCACGATGTTGAGGTCAGTGTCGTCTAGGATACTGGGAGATACTGGACATCTTAAGGTTTGATATTTTATCATATTGACCTACTGCTAGTTACTAGATATAATTATAACACTGTCAGGTATTGTCTGTGTAGTAACACGTGTTGTGAAGCAGAACAATATGATAATGAGAATTGATTCATGAGGGTTTGTAGTTACATTAGAGATCATCTATATAATGTTACATTACAAGTATAATGTTAAATTACAGGTATAATGTTCCTTGTATATAGTATAGTGGTAAAATGTACAGGTATAATGTTACTTGTGTATAGTATAGTGGTAAAATGTACAGGTATAATGTTCCTTGTATATAGTATAGTGGTAAAATGTACAGGTAAAATGTTCCTTGTATTTAGTATAGTGGTAAAACGTACAGGTATAATGTTCCTTGTGTATAGTATAGTGGTAAAATGTACAGGTATAATGTTCCTTGTATATAGTATAGTGGTAAAATGTACAGGTATAATGTTCCTTGTGTATAGTATAGTGGTAAAATGTACAGGTATAATGTTCCTTGTGTATAGTATAGTGGTAAAATGTACAGGTATAATCTTCCTTGTATTTAGTATAGTGGTGAAATGTACAGGTATACGTATAATTCCTTGTATATAATATAGTGGTAAAATGTACAGGTATACGTATAATTCCTTGTATATAGTATAATGGTGAAATGTACAGGTATACGTATAATTCCTTGTATATAGTATAGTGGTAAAATTTCAGGTATACGTATAATTCCTTGTATATAGTATAGTGGTGAAATGATCTCAAAGCTTGTTTTATGCAATGTATGTAATGGATAACCATGTAAATGATAACCCTATATATTTGTACACTGAAGTTGTTGAAATCCTCGCTGTGTAATGACACCTAATGTCGAAATCCTCAATCTTTAATGACACTTAATGTTGAAATCTTGGATCTTTCGTGCATCTTAATGATGAAATCCTTATTTCTGTCTCAACGCCACAAAGTAGCAGAAGCAAAACTAAGGTGTTGCTTTTCCGGCGGCGGCTTCGTCAACATCAAGTTTTTGCGTTTAAGTTAGTTTCACTGAAAGTATAAGTGCTAGACCAACCAAACTTGGACCATCTTAGGTAGTACATTTCAACCCATGCATCAAATGCTGGATGTAGCTTATAATTACCTTTCATGGTCCATTGACTTATTAGCATCTCCATCAACATTAAAAGTTGGCGTTTAAGTTAGTTTCTCTTACAATTCAAGAGATATCCAGCAACCAAACCTGACATGTGCATTGATGCATGGTCAAAATGGGGAACAGCTAGGTGAGACTAATAGAATATTTCACCCCCTTGGGGGTGAGATAGGAGAATCTCAACCCGAGGGGGAGGATTCTTAAGTTGCCAAACACGAGGCTTTGCCGAGTGTTTGGCAACTTAGGAATCTTTCCCCCGACGTCATGCCATTGTTATGAATAGGGGAATCCCCCCCGTCTCAACCCTAGGGTGAGACAAGGAAATCTCACACCGGTAAAAGTGCAGATACACCTGTCCAGGGTAAGAGAAATATCAATCTGAATGGCTTGTTCACAATAACGAAACTAAATTTAAATTGGACATTGTCAGTAATAATCATCATGGATAGCATTTCCTCAAAAACTTTTATTTTTTCGTTCAGAATACTTGTATATTTATTTTCATTTCACATGAAAATATTTTATAATTGTAACAGAAACGAAGTTGTCAGATTTGTATTTCTAGTTTGCAAAAAGAAATTATCTTGACTGATATTCAGAGTCACATGGTTCAAATTTGTCTGATTTTTTCTGAAAAACACAAATGTCTAAAATCAGGCAAATTTTGTGTATTTCATTAAAATAACTGAAAAGTATATCAAGATTTGTTGTATTTAGCCTATAGCTTGGTTTTGTTTATTTCACCCTGCATGTAAAATACTAGCCTCTTCATAACGACTCGGCTAGGGAGAATTTTCTCTTAAGCTCATGTAGTAGAGCATAAGACTAGTAACCCAGAGGTCCCAGGTTCGAGTCCTGGCTAAGGCACTGGGAAAATAATGACCTGTGAAGTGCATGTTTTTGTTACCTAAATTTTACAACAGCCTGTTCCTTCATGAGTTTGGAAAATGTAGCATTAGTTGTACTGAAATTAGAAACATGCTCCTCCTCAGTGTTGGTCCTTTTGGGAAAAAAAGGGCACCTCTTGGCTAGGAGAATCAGCCTGTATTCGGCAGTAAAACTGAGCAAAACAATGTCTGTTCTGTAACATTTATAACATCCTCACAACAGCCAAGGTCATATGAATACGAGTGCCAAGGGAGACAATGCCGAAAAAATGGAAATATAACCCAAGTGTGACATCAATTTTGATATTTTCAAAGTCCCCCAACAGAAGAGAGAGACCCCCCCCCCCCCATTCTGCGGAGGGTCCTACATAGGTTATCCCTTATGACATGCAATGGGATAAATTAAAACAGGCCTAATCTCTGAACCTAGCATGCTATTACAAGCACAAAGTTGGAGGCCATATTTACACAGACCGTAGGTAGTCACCTATATAGGTTGTCAACACTGTGTGATCATGAGTCCTTTTAACTTTTAAAGAACATCTGTGTCAATATAATTGTGGACCATTGACATTCTGTAAACAGATTTAAAAGGTTGTGGTGGACCTGGACTGGGTCGATCATCGGAGATCAGGTAGCTTAAATTGGAAGAGCATCTGTCTAGAGCTCGGAAGGTCCAGGGTTCGAACCCCGGTCTGGCCGTGCATTTTTCCTCTCCTGTTACAAGGTAAAATAAAATCAAGTCTTAATTAAAAACACCGCAGAACTTCACTTATATGACTCGGAGATGAAACTGTAGATGTTAGCGGAAGTTTGGAGTTTGTCGTGAGGTGTGTGAAACGTGATTCCAACAGTATTAGTGGAGCCCTACTGTTTCAGAACTGTGCCCTAGCTAGCTAGGTGTGAGCCTGATTCTCCACTCTCTGTATCCAGGCTATGTAAATGAGACAGAAAATTAGCAATTTATCTTATTCAGCTTTATAATTTCAGAGCTTTTCAGAACTGTGAAGATGGATTCCATTTTCAATATATTTTATACAGTTTATTAAAATTTCTGTTTCTGTCAAAATAGATAATTTCATAATTTAATTTAAGCAAATTCAATAGATCATTAACTTAAAATAATGCTGAAATGGGTTTTTTCTCACCTTCTAGATAATTGAGTGTCCATTGCCATAATGGAATATTTTATTATTACATAATTAAAATATGGAGTATGATATACATTCCGTTACCAGGGGCCGCAGTGTGGTCGAGTGGTTAAGGCCTCTGACCGTCTACGATCACTAGCCCTCCACCACTGGGTCACCATGGCTTAGTGGTTTAGGCCTAGATCTGACCGTCTACGATCACTAGCCCTCCACCACTGGGTCACCATGGCTTAGTGGTTTAGGCCTCTGACCGTCTACAATCACTAGCCCTCCACCACTGGGTCACCGTAGCTTAGTGGTTTAGGCCTTTGACTGTCTACGATCACTAGCCCTCCACCACTGGGTCACCGTGGCTTATAGTGGTTAAGGCATCTGACCGTCTACGATCACTAGCCCTCCACCACTGGGTCACCGTGGCTTAGAGGTTTAGGCCTTTGACTGTATACGATCACTAGCCCTCCACCACTGGGTCACCGTGGCTTAGTGGTTTAGGCCTCTGACCGTCTACGATCACTAGCTCTCCACCACTGGGTCACCGTGGCTTATAGTGGTTAAGGCATCTGACCATCTACGATCACTAGCCCTCCACCACTGGGTCACCATGGCGTAGTGGTTTCGGCCTCTGACCGTCTACGATCACTAGCCCTCTACCACTGGGTCACCGTGGCTTAGTGGTTTAGGCCTCTGACTGTCTACGATCACTAGCCCTCCCCCACTGGGTCACCGTGGCTTAGTGGTTTAGGCCTTTGACTGTATACGATCACTAGCCCTCCACCACTGGGTCACCATGGCGTAGTGGTTTCGGCCTCTGACCGTCTACGATCACTAGCCCTCTACCACTGGGTCACCGTGGCTTAGTGGTTTAGGCCTTTGACTGTATACGATCACTAGCCCTCCACCACTGGGTCACCATGGCGTAGTGGTTTCGGCCTCTGACCGTCTACGATCACTAGCCCTCTACCACTGGGTCACCGTGGCTTAGTGGTTTAGGCCTCTGACTGTCTACGATCACTAGCCCTCCCCCACTGGGTCACCGTGTCTTAGTGGTTAAGGCATCTGACCATCTACGATCACTAGCCCTCCACCACTGGGTCACCATGGCGTAGTGGTTTCGGCCTCTGACCGTCTACGATCACTAGCCCTCTACCACTGGGTCACCGTGGCTTAGTGGTTTAGGCCTTTGACTGTATACTATCACTAGCCCTCCCCCCCTGGGTCACCATGGCTTAGTGGTTTCGGCCTCTGACCGTCTACGATCACTAGCCCTCCACCACTGGGTAACCATGGCTTAGTGGTTTCGGCCTCTGACCGTCTACGATCACTAGCCCTCCACCACTGGATCACTGTGGCTTAGTGGTTTAGGCCTCTGACCGTCTACGATCACTAGCCCTCCACCACTGGATCACCGTGGCTTATATTAGTGGTTTAGGCCTCTGACCGTCTACGATCACTAGCCCTCCACCACTGGGTTGCTGGCTGCCCATGCAGGGCAGTTGTCTTTTCTCTGGCTGCTCCCATATTCTGCCACCAATTAAACCCGGCACATTCTTAAATGACAAAAGCCGTTAATAGGAGGTAAAAAACAGACAAACCAAACCCTGGTAGCATTATATAAAAATGCTGCACAAGAATTAACTTGATAGGTGATCCCAATATAAGATTATACACAGCAGTTACATAATACCCAGTATTTAATTCTAACAAGCTTAAATTAAGGTGCTTGTTACAGTACATGAATATTGATTGTTCAAGGTTTACAGAACTGTCAATATAAGATCTAGAGGTTTAAATGTACACTAGGTAATTAGCATGCAGGTCTTATATCGTTCGGTGTATATAAGGGATACAATATATGTACTCACAGGATGTCTGCAGACTTAAGCAGGTGAGATATAATGTACATCTTCAATATCATAACGGTTTTTAACTTCCTGGCAACAGATGCATGGTTAACTACATTACCTCTTCCACAAAATGGCAGGTAGTACGATTACAAATGTCCGTAATCAATAATAATTTAATAGGTTTATGTTACCGGTGATTACCTCTTAACTTTAGGATTGTCATGTGAGATAGTAGATCCTATGGCAGTTCGGTGTGGTCATTCATTTATATCAGATCAAGCATATTACAGTACATCACCGGTTACCACAAAACAGTACTGTAGATATTTGAAATGTAAAAAAAAATATAATAAAAAGGGGAGGTTACTGTAATACAAAAATACAAAGTGTAGTGGGACAGTGATCCTTAATGTAATACAGTGTTGTCACTTCATTTATGTTACCTGATCTGCTCCAACATCTCTGATATAGAAACATCTAGTTTGTTATGGAGCAGTGTTATATATATAGTTCTAATAAGCTCTTCCTTGAAGTTAAACAACATGAAGGGTAGGTGACTTCACAAACTCTAGCTGTCCCGGTAAATGTGGTGACAGAGTCTAGTTGTCCCAGTAAGTGTGGTGACAGAGTCTAGCTGTCCCAGTAAGTGTGATGACAGAGTCTAGCTGTCCCAGTAAGTGTGGTGTCCCAGTAAGTGTTGTAGCAGAGTCTAGCTGTCCCAGTAAGTGTGGTGCCAGAGTCTATCTGTCCCAGTAAGTGTGCTGTCCCAGTAAGTGTGGTAGCAGAGTCTAGCTGTCCCAGTAAATGTGATGACAGAGTCTAGCTGTCCCAGAAAGTGTGGTGACAGAGTCTATCTGTCCCAGTAAGTGTGGTAACAGAGTCTAGTTGTTCCAGTAAGTGTGGTGACAGAGTCTAGTGTCCCATTAAGTGTGGTGACAGAGTGCAGTTGCCCCAGTAAGTGTGGTGACAGAGTCTAACTGTCCTACTAAGTGTGGTGACAGAGTCTAGCTATCTCAGTAAGTGTGGTGACAGAGTCTATCTGTCCCAGTAAGTGTGGTAGCAGAGTCTAGCTGTCCCAGTAAGTGTGGTGACAGAGTATAGTGTCCCAGTAAGTGTGGTGACAGAGTCTAGCTGTCCCAGTAAGTGTGGTGACAGCGTATAGTGTCCCAGTAAGTGTGGTGACAGAGTGCAGTTGTCGCAGTTAGTGTGGGGACAGAGACTAGTTGTTCCAGTAAGTGCGGTAACAGAGTCTAGTTGTTCCAGTAAGTGTGGTGATATAGTCTCTCTGTCCCAGTAAGTGTGGTGCCAGGGTCTAGCTATCCCAGTAAGTGTGGTGACAGAGTCTAGCTATCTCAGAAAGTGTGGTGACAGAGTCTATCTGTCCCAGTAAGTGTGGTGACAGAGTCTAGCTATCCCAGTTAGTGTGGTGACAGAGTCTAGCTGTCCCAGTAAGTGTGGTTGCAGAGTCTAGTGTCCCAGTAAGTGTGGTGACAGAGTGCAGTTGTCGCAGTTAGTGTGGTGACAGAGACTAGTTGTTCCAGTAAGTGTGGTAACAGAGTCTAGTTGTTCCAGTAAGTGTGGTGACAGAGTCTAGTGTCCCAGTAAGTGTGGTGACAGAGTCTAGTTGTTCCAGTAAATGTGGTGACAGAGTCTAGTTGTTCCAGTAAGTGTGGTAACAGAGTCTAGCTGTTCCAGTAAGTGTGGTGACATAGTCTCTCTGTCCCAGTAAGTGTGGTGCCAGAGTCTAGCTATCCCAGTAAGTGTGGTGACAGAGTCTAGCTGTCCCAGTAAGTGTGGTGACAGAGTGCAGTTGACGCAGTAAGTGTGGTGACAGAGTCTAGCTGTCCCAGTAAGTGTGGTGCCAGAGTCTAGTTATCCCAGTAAGTGTGGTGACAGAGCGCAGTTGTCGCAGTAAGTGTGGTGACAGAGTCTATCTGTCCCAGTAAGTGTGGTGACAGAGTCTAGTGTCCCAGTAAGTGTGGTGACAGAGTCTAGTTGTTCCAGTAAGTGTGGTGACAGAGTCTAGAGTCCCAGACAGGATATTTTCAGAGCAGAATTGTCACATTAGTCTGGTAAGCTACTTTTGTTTTGGAACAAAGTTGTATAGTCGAGGAGGAATTGTTTCAGAGAGACTATACTGAAATAAGTTTGTTTTTAATACGGCCATTATCTAGTAATTATACTATTTTGTGATGGGGTTTTCTTAATCAACTGCAAATCTGTCCAGAAATAAACAGATTTGTTGAATGAAATTGTATGAATGTTTCGATTGTTTAATTACATTGATGTAGTAAATGTATTGGCCATAGCAATCTCCCTTTGAGGAGGGAATAAAAGATAAGATACTAATATTAATTATTAGGATCACATTTTGTTACTGTGATCAATACTTCTTCTCCTCCATCTGACCTGACCTGATTATGTGTGTTAAATTAAACCCTGCCTTACACACACATTCTCCTGCTCAGATTAATATATTTACATTTCCACTGCACTTTAAGTTTCTTTATGAGCATATCATGAGAAATTGTGTTCATAGGGCTATGAACGCAATTGGAGCAGCATCATTTGGAAGCTTCTCCTCTCGCCTCGAATAACATGAGACTACGCTATAAGCAAACAATTTGACAACATAAGGCTGTTCCAGGAATCTTGTTTGCACTGGTGAAATAAACACTTCAATATCAAAAATATAGGGAACATCTGTATTCAGGTCAATAATAGGGCATTGTTTTAATGTTCATGCCAGTATGAGTGCAAATTGGTTACATATATTTTTAACATGAAGCCCTATGTATGCTAAACTAATTTGCATTCATACCAGCATGAACATTGAAAAAATGATGTTCAATCCTTATATATGCATGAACTACATTTATTTTACAACAATTAAACAAGATTTTCCAGCTTATGTTGAATTAATAATCACCCTTTTTGACCCGGATGGAGGCGTGTAGAAGGTCTTGTGTTCAGGAGGAAACTGAAGACTAGCTCAAAAAACCAACGTGGTCTGGCAGCTGGTGACCCAATTACCCTTCCAGGTCCTAACCAGGGAATCAGTATCCTGCCGTCTTGGTGAAAACCGATATTGTCATCCACTGCACCACCTGACCACCCTACTCAGATTAATTTCTATGGTGAGCAGGTTTCTGGTCATGGTGTGTAAATGGCTTTAGAATCAATTGTAAATCCATAGTATATAAAATATTATTTCTGTTTCTTGTATTTTACAGGGTTATGGAAAAGTTATGCCTTCTTCCAGATCTAGAGTGACCAGCACCGAGCCACTTTGTTGTTGCGAGTACGAAAATATCAAAGGGGAGAAAAGTCACATCCTCGCCTGCTGCTGTGACTGTGACGCTGTAGACGAAGCTTGTGACAGGTATTATCAATATATATCACGGTCTTGTTTATTGTTAGGTCCTCACAGGCCATCAATACTATCGTCTAGGGCCATCCTCACAGGCCATCAATACAAGCGTCTAGGGCCATCCTCACAGGCCATCAATACAATCGTCTAGGGCCATCCTCACAGGCCATCAATACAAGCGTCTAGGGACATCCTCACAGGCCATCAATACAAGCGTCTAGGGACATCCTCACAGGCCACCAATACAAGCGTCTAGGGCCATCCTCACAGGCCATCAATACAAGCGTCTAGGGCCATCCTCACAGGCCATCAATACAAGCGTCTAGGGCCATCCTCACAGGCCATCAATACAATCGTCTAGGGCCATCCTCACAGGCCATCAATACAATCGTCTAGGGCCATCCTCACAGGCCATCAATACAATCGTCTAGGGCCATCCTCACAGGCCATCAATACAATCGTCTAGGGCCATCCTCACAGGCCATCAATACAATCGTCTAGGGCCATCCTCACAGGCCATCAATACAATCGTCTAGGGCCATCCTCACAGGCCATCAATACAATCGTCTAGGGCCATCCTCACAGGCCATCAATACAATCGTCTAGGGCCATCCTCACAGGCCATCAATACAATCGTCTAGGGCCATCCTCACAGGCCATCAATACAATCGTCTAGGGCCATCCTCACAGGCCATCAATACAATCGTCTAGGGCCATCCTCACAGGCCATCAATACAATCGTCTAGGGCCATCCTCACAGGCCATCAATACAATCGTCTAGGGCCATCCTCACAGGCCATCAATACAATCGTCTAGGGCCATCCTCACAGGCCATCAATACAATCGTCTAGGGCCATCCTCACAGGCCATCAATACAATCGTCTAGGGCCATCCTCACAGGCCATCAATACAATCGTCTAGGGCCATCCTCACAGGCCATCAATACAATCGTCTAGGGCCATCCTCACAGGCCATCAATACAATCGTCTAGGGCCATCCTCACAGGCCATCAATACAATCGTCTAGGGCCATCCTCACAGGCCATCAATACAATCGTCTAGGGCCGTCCTCACAGGCCATCAATACAATTGTCTAGGGCCATCCTCACAGGCCATCAATACAATTGTCTAGGGCCATCCTCACAGGCCATCAATACAATCGTCTAGGGCCACGTTATATGTAGAAAGTAGACAGTGGTAGGTAAGTGTGTTCTGTTACCTATATACTGTATACTGTGTAAGCTTAAGGTTGTCTTAGTGTTGTTAGTCTTATTTTAGCACTTTTTCATACTTTAACCCTTTCACCACTATAGACCATAATGGACTTACCCAGATCAATGCATGGTAGAGTTGATTAAAGTTACATAGGGGTAAAAGGGTTAAATGCTGCGCTAAATTCTGGTAGGGCTCTTTCTCAAATTTAACATGACAAAAGTTCCCCAGTAGTCCCTAGTTACACAAATCAAATTTTGGGACTGAAGTGTAAACCAAGATGACTGACAGCCTGCAGCCATCTTGAATTTGAGAATGAAAGTTTGTTAGCGCTATTTCTCATAATGTACCAGAGGGGTCTCTCAACTTTCACGTTCCCCATGGTTCCTAGTTCGGCATTTTAAATTTTGGGGATGATTGGAAAAACCAAGATGATCGGCAGGTGGTCATCTTGTTACAGTACAAGTTGTTATCGCTATTTCTGATTCTCAGAATGTACTGGAGGAATCATTCTCAGTTTTTATATGTTAAGGTTCAGCTTGGTCCTTAGCTGTGTATGTTAACTTTTGAGGTTGATCAAACGACCAATTAAGATGGCAGACAGGCAAACTGATCAAACAGATAAGAGAAAAGAACAGAAAACATTTAACAGACATGGAACTTATGAAGATGGTACGATGGTTGGAGGGATCTCCGGTTATTTTATATGATATTTGTGTACCTATTCATCAAGTAATAGCGGTTCAGCGCCATATTCATGAAAACGTTCTCATGCTCAAGTCTGGATTCTGTGTTCAAACCAACTTTATTGTAACTCTAAAAACAGGTCACACAGTAAAAAAACATCAGATTTAAACATTAAAAATGGTTTTAGGCTTGTAGTATGTCCAGGATTCACCAATCTTTAGTCATTTCAATTTGATTTTGTATGTGCTAATAAATAAAAACTCAATAATGTGTTTAAATTGAAATATGCTAAAATAAGTAAGTTTGCAGCATTTCATACCAGTTTTCTAGTGAGGACGCAAGGGAGAAAGTTTGTGAAAAACTCATACAGACGATTAAAATATAAATATCATTTTTCTGAACCAAAACCCATTGTTAGTGTGTGATAGAAATTAATGTATACATTTTAAAACCTTGAACAATTTTAGATTGTACTTTTCATACGTAGAATGGTGTGAATCATGAATCAAAAGGACAGAGATTTCCTTTACTACATCAATGTTTCAAATTTTTTTTTTTACAAAAATATATATTTTAGTTTAATAACTTTTTCATATGTGTATTTTGTAGGTGCATAACATGTCAGAGAGTCCCTCCGAGGATGCAGGCTAAAATCTTAAAAACTATCAATGACCGATGTCGAATCCCTGGGATTTTCGGACACGGGGCCACGCAGCTTCGCCTTGACATTATTGTTCCTTTGTTTATTGTTCCGTTAAGTGTCCTCGTAGCCACAATGGGACCAATCATGACAGTGTTGTCGTTGACGTTCATGCCGCTATTTATGTTGTTTTTTTACCGAACATGGCGGCGAAACACTGAAAAGACACGGACACCTTTCTTTTTTGTTTGGGGTTTGGTCTCAGTCATATTGATGTTTGTAACTTTTCAAAGTTTTATAGTCGCGTTTCGTGAGATTCTGTTATGGGAAAACATCCTATTGACCACAGCCTTTTTTGGTATGTTGTATTACATGAGTCAGGCCAAATATAACAGTCGATCCTTACGTCCTCACACAACATACCAACGTCTTCGAAGGGAAGACGTTTATAACTCAAACAGGCTGCATGAAAACCACTCTAGTGCAACACAGGAAAATTCTAAGGATTATACACAAGTGACTATAGACAAAAACGTTGGTAGTAGAGGGATGTCTCTGGATGAAATCACTACTGCATCATTACCGGAGGAGCAAGTCACATGGATAGATTCTCGACCAATCAAGGGTAAGTATTTCTTGTTTCTAGCATTAAAGCTCTCAGATGAATGTGATTTTTCATGCTGTTATTGAACTGCTTTTGCTCACCTAAACATTAAATAAATTCCTACCCTGCCTGACACTTAAGTGCATGTGGGTCTTTTGATATGTCCACCATCAGTCGTTTGGGAGTTAATTCTTTTTTAAAACAACTTCTTCAATAGTACCATGCATGCAGCCTATAGACAAGACTTTTAGCATGAAACCTACTGAGGTTAAAACATTTTCATGACCTTGATTTACATTAACCCTTTCACCACTGTAGACCATAATGGACTCATCCATATCAATGTATGGTAGAGTCTACTAAAGTTACAAAGGGGTGCACCCCTACAGGTGGGGGGGGGGGGGCGGGAAAATAATACACCTGCTGTTACCCACTGCATGTATCGTAGGAGGCAACTCATGTTGGAAACCCCTGCGAAATTTGAAATTTGCTTTGATGTCCTCTATTTGGGGACACAAAAGTGACCATTTTAATTCTGTTGCACCCATTGCAATATTTGGTATCTTTATCTTTCTTTCTACTTCTAACTACCTTTTATTTCCTATAGCACTTTGCTTGGCAACACCTCACTTTTGGCTTGAATGGTCAGTGTTCAGCCAAGTGAGGAAGGCAAAGGGTTCTGTCGCCAGGCCAGGATATACCAAATTCTAGTTGTTATTATTCCCTGCTTAACATCCAGCATCAAGGGGAATGGCAACAACTGGTTCACCTGTTGTCAGTATAATGTGACCGGCCAGAATGCTGTGCTTGATGCCTTCGGCATGGTGCCCCCGGGATTTCAGTGAGATAGCACTATAAAGTTGGCATAAGATCTGCGCTATCACAAGGAGGCAAGCACACCAACATACCCTGTCTCCTGCATGAACACCCGCAAACACAACACACACGGCGGCACGTCCTTAAATGACCTAAGCTGTTAATAGGAGGTTAAACAAAATTAAACCAAACCAAATCTACATGGGAATGAAAGGGTTAGATATTGCAAGGTTCAAAGTACTATCAGTTTCAAGTGACTTCTCTTCACAAACCGATCTGGTTGAGGGAGATGACATTTAGTCTGTACAATGAAGTTTGCTTTGATGCATGTATACTATAAGGACCTAATATAAATGAAGGGAAGGTCACCGTGATCAGATGGGAAGGTCACCGTGATCAGATGGGAAGGTCACCATGAGCAGATGGGAAGATCACCGTGATCAGATGGGAAGGTCACCGTGATCAGATGGGAAGGTCACTTTGATCAGATGGGAAGGTCACTGTGATCAGACGTGATGGATTTACCTAAGCTGCGTATTGATATTTCCATTCGTTATAATTACATATATATATGTCTGATAAAAGAATTTGTCACTTTAAAAAGTTAATAATTGTGTAAATTAAATGCTATGCTTGTAAACAATAAGTCAAAATCTTCTAAAAACTTTCTCTAAAGAATCCTAGATTGTTTGTGTTTGGCGTCTAGCTATATTATCTAGCTTACCAGAGGTGAAATGTTTTCAAGCGTGATGGCAGCTTTAATTTAATCTACATTCCACTCATAGTAAGTCAAGTATGATAAAAAGTGTTTGAATTTTTTTTCTGAAGGAACTTACACCTAGAGGACATGACACTGAAGTCGCTGGGATGATTCTTTATTCAGCTGTAAAAATATGTCCTTCAAAAGTCATCATTTGGATAACTGAACTAACTTGTTCTACAAACTATTGGACTCTAAATCACAAAAAATAACTAAAGCACTTTTCTCACATGCATGACTTATAGCAAGTTATAAAAGCCCTACAATTTATTTTTGTTCAAAAAATTTTATAAACAAAAATAAATTTGATATAAGAATGTATACTACTCACAATTTTGCTCAGGATCATTTTTTTTAGGGGCATATGTGAAAACAAATACCTTTTTTGGTTTATACTGAGATCATTTTTGAAAAATTGATTGTTCTTTTAATTCATCAGCTTGCAAAAATTCCAAAATTCGTAGCCACATGAAAAGTGTTAAAATTGGTTACAACGAGGTATTCACTAAAAAACTTAAATTGAACAAAACTCATCCTTAATAAACAGAAACTGTTTTAGTTTGAGTGTAACGCCCATGAGCATCAATGACAGCTTCACAACATCTGCACGTGCCCCGAATGAGATTGCTTATCCAGTTTTGTAGGATAGCGTTCCACTCAGCTACCAAAGCTGTTCCGAGCTCCTGGAGCATTCTTGGCTTAACATTTGTGACATCTTTATGTGGAATTGTCTCCAATCTAACAAATATGTCAGACCCTATGGACGATAATGCTAGACCACATAGAGCAAGGGTGACTGAGCAGTATTTACAGCAAGAGACTATTCAGCAAATGGCCAGCCCACTGGCCGGATCTAAATCCCATCGAGCATAATTATGTGGGACATGCTGCAGACAGCTACTGCTCAGTCACCCTTGCTCTATGTGGTCTAGCATTATCGTCCATAGGGTCTGACATATTTGTTAGATTGGAGACAATTCCACATTCATGCCACTACACTTTGAGACACCCCAAGGTCTGCTGCAACAAATTGTTGAGACATGCTGGCTTACAGCATTCCGATGCCCCTATTCCTTTCATTGTCATTTAACTGTTGTCTTGTTCGTCTTTGTGCCATATTAAAACAAAACCATGCAAAGAATATTCATGAAATTGATTTCCATAACAATGCCTTACTTACAGTACAGACGGAAAATATAATATCCTTTCTAACATTTTTTTTTTTTTTTCAAAATAAAGATGATCCTTAGCAAAATGTGAGTAGTATACTTCTGTACTTATCGTTTCCCCTACGACAGGAAGTGATTCTTATTGCATGTGTCATATATTTGATCAGATGGGAAATTGGTTACCTGGTGTGCAGATTGTGAAATCAAAAAGCCGTCTCGCTCTGGGCATTGTACTGTGTGTAAAGCTTGCTTTGCTGTGCGTGACCATCACTGTGTATGGTAAGTTATCTCCCCTTTGATGTGTGTGACCATCACTGTGTATGGTAAGTTATCTCCCCTTTGCTGTGCATGACCATCACTGTGTATGGTAAGTTATCTCCCCTTTGATGTGTGTGACCATCACTGTGTATGGTCAATTATCTCCCCTTTGCTGTGTGTGACCATCACTGTGTATGGTAAGTTATCTCCCCTTTGCTGTGTGTGACCATCACTGTGTATGTTAAGTTATCTCCCCATTGATGTGTGTGACCATCACTGTGTATGGTAAGTTATCCCCCCCTTGATGTGTGTGACCATCACTGTGTATGGTAAGTTATCCCCCCCTTGATGTGTGTGACCATCACTGTGTATGGTAAGTTATCTCCCCTTTGCTGTGTGTGACCATCACTGTGTATGGTAAGTTATCCCCCCCTTGATGTGTGTGACCATCACTGTGTATGGTAAGTTATCTCCCCTTTGATGTGTGTGACCATCACTGTGTATGATAAGTTATCTCCCCTTTGATGTGTGTGACCATCGCTGTGTATGGTAAGTTATCTCCCCTTTGACGTGTGTGACCATCACTGTGTATGGTAAGTTATCTCCCCTATGATGTGCCTGCCCATCATTGTGTATGGTAAGTTATCTCCCCTTTGATGTGTGTGTCCATCACTGTGTATGTTAAGTTATCTCTCCTTTTATGTGCGTGACCATCACTCTGTATGGTAAGTTATCTCCCCTTTGATGTGCGTGACCATCATTGTGTATGGTAAGTTAATTCTCCTTTGATGTGTGTCCATCATTGTGTATGATAAGTTATCTCCCCATTGATGTGTGTGACCATCATTGTGTATGGTAAGTTATCTCCCCTTTGATGTGCGTGACCATCATTGTGTATGGTAAGTTATCTCCCCTTTGATATGCATGCCTATCATTGTGTATGGTAAGTTATCTCTATGACTATGACCTTGATACAAGTTACTTGTTGTTAAAAATTGATTATTGACTCTAAACTTGACTGTTGTTATTTACTGGATAGACTGTTGTTATTTACAGGATAGACAGCTGTTGTTTACAGGATAGACTGTTGTTATTTACAGTATACATGTTGTTATTTACAGTATACAATTGTTTCATGGCTATTTGGGGAACAGTCAAAACTATCATCCCTCGGTAGGGGGAAGCCCTGTGGAACTGTTTGCTCTTGGCCTAGCGGCCTCGGGCAAACAGTTCCCCAGGGCTTCCACCTACCTCGGGATGATAGTTTTGACTGTCCCCCAAATAACCATGAAACAATTGTTTTATTACCAAATAAATATTAGTATCAATTAATGCTGCATGCAATGTTGCCATTGCTTCAACACTAAGTCGCGGTCACCAAAACGCTTGAAGGGTCTCTCGAGGGGGGATTTCTGCGCATTGAATTTGCGCCAGGTAACAGTTCGCTCTGATCGGGAAAACAGTTTTGACTGTTTCACCCCTACACCCAAAATTGGACAAAAACCCAGAAACAGTCAAAAATGACTAATTATAATTTATATAGGCTATTGGGTATTAAGATAGATTGTTGTTGTTTACAGGAAAGACTGTTGTTGTTTACAGGATAGGATAGACTGTTGTTACTTACTGGATAGATTGCTGTTATTTACAGGATAGACTTGTTGTTATTTACTGGATAGGATAGACTGTTGTTGTTTACAGGATAAATTGTTGTTATTTACAGGATAGACTGCTGTATCACTGCTCACAACCATAGACAGTTCATGGCTGCCATGATGCTGTTTGTGTTCTGTGGGTTCTACGGAGTACACCTCACCCTGACCACGGTGTGCACGCCACAACTGTACTATGGCTGGTTCTTGCTGCCAAACGACTGTAGATTTTTATATATTGATTTCCAGTAAGTACTTGTATGTTACTTAATTTTATGTATGATGCTTTGTTCCTGCAAATGGGGAGGTCAAAGATCTCAGTCATAAGTACACTTTTGTGGCTATGTTGAAACAGAACATAACACTACATTCCAAACTGATGACGCCACATATAGTGTTTATAAAACAAAACACCACACATGTTTACAGACAACACACCCACTAGTGTAACAGGAAAGGAAAAATACACGGCCAGACCACTGTTCGAACCCGGGACCTTCCCAAATCTAGATGGATGCTCTACCAATTGAGCTATCTGGTCGCTGATGATCTACCCACCCCTGTTCAGCTACATTCCTCCCTACTTTAAGTCTTTGCACCCACAGACACAACTATTTACAACCCAGGTTTGGGTATCCCCTTGCAAAGCATAGAACAAATGCTTGAAACAAGGTTTGATCACAGGCACCACTATAACAGGAGAGGAAAAATGCTCAGCCAGACCGGGGTTCAAACCCGAGACCCGCCGAACTCAAGACGAACGCTCTCAATTGACCTATCTGGTCGCCAACATTGACCCAGTCCAGTCCCGCTACATTAGTACTAATATACTATGTACTATAAGTATGTACTTTGTTATCCAGTGATTATACCCATGCCATATTTGTTTGTGTATAACCCCATGTAATATGCCCTTTCAACCCTGTGATTGGTTGTAAGTTACAATTGTTTCAATTGTGATGTCACGCCTAGCGGCCTAGGAAAGGACATGACGTCACAGACTTGCGCACTGGAGTCAAAATGGCAGATTTTCATATTTCAAGGTTGCATGAAAACTGTCGTTTTACATGAATAGACGCCACAAATTCACAGAGGATCGCTAAATTAAAAAATTCTTAAGACTCTCAAATGAAATTGAAACTCATGTAAGATCCTATATATACACTGTAGACTTGGGTTACATACAGATAGAGTCCTCAATTGGGGGAACGTTTACTTTATGTGTAGCTTTTTGCATTGAATTTTGAAACAGTTCTGAAAAGGTGCTTCCTTACTGCACATTTAACAGTATCAGCCATGTTTAAAAGGGGAGATAATCATTGCAAAACATTGCACAATTGAACTTCTCTGATTATAAAAATAGGACGATTCTGAATATGAGAATGTTGATTGGGGGTNGCCAGAAAACGATCATATGAAAAAGTATTTACTTCATTGTAAGAAATAACCCTTGGTAATTATAAATAAATATTAACAGCCATTTATACAGAACCATATATCCTTCTGAAGCTAGCAGATCTACAAATATAAAGTGAAACTAAACAGTATACATACAGTATAAAATTGATATAAAAAAATAATATAAAATACACAATTAATATATAATACACATATACAATTAATGTAAAATTCCCATATACAATTAATATGAAATACCCATATACAATTGATATAACAAACATATACATTTACTATATAATACACATTTACAATAAATATAAAATACACATATCATTTAATATAAGACAGATCATTAGTGCCAGTTAAGAAATGCATTTTTAGTTTTAATTTGTTTTCATAACATACTACATAAACATTCCACAACATGTACAGACACAGTGCTCTTTCGTCAAATATCGTTTGTATTCATGCAATCAGCTTTTGTTCTCTCAATGCAGTTTTGATGCCTGTCACTTCCCCATCAAACATCATCCCCATCCCACTATAAATCCTTGCACCATTTCTCTTTCTTTTCCCTGCACATGTTATACTTTATATATATAAATTTATTTATATGAATTATAATATTGTCAGTACTGATCCATAGCTGCTGTTATGTCTATAACGAGACAGACTTACATAAGTACTATGTTCTTGTTTCTGGATCCTTTTCTGTATTTATAACCATGTACTATTGTAATTTATCATCAATAAAATAAAGTTTAAACTAATATAAAACAAACATATACAACTGATGTAAAATACACATAAAATTGATATAAAATACACATACAATTGATATAACAAAACATATACAATAAATATTACAATTAATATTAAATACACATATAAAATCAATATAAGATATGCAATTGATATTAAATATAAATAAACAATTAATATTAAATACACATACAATTGATATAACAAAACATACAATCAATATAAAATACACATACAATTAATATAAAATACATATATACAATTGATATAAGATATGCAATTGATATTAAATATAAATATACAATTAAAATTAAATACATATATACAATTGATATAACAAAACATATACAATAAATATAAAATACACATATACAATTAATATAAGATACACATATACAATAAATATAAAATACACATATACAATTAATATAAATTACATGTATACAAGTAATATAAAATACACATACAATTAATATAAAATACACAAATACAATTAATATAAGATATGCAATTGATATTAAATATAAATATACAATTAATATTAAATACACATACAATTGATATAACAAAACATATGCAATAAATATAAAATACACATACAATTAATATAAAATACACATATACAATTAGTATAAGATATGCAATTGATATTAAAAAAAAATATACAATTAATATAAAATACACATATACAATTGATATAAAATATGCAATTAAAATTAAATACATATATACAATTAATATAACAAAACATATGCAATAAATATAAAATACACATATACAATTGATATAACAAAAAATATACAATTAATTTAAAATACACTTATACAATTACATACACATACTATTAATATAAAATACATATATACAATTAATATAAAATTCATATAAACAATTAATATAAAATACATATACATTTACAAATAATATAAAAGACATATATTTGAATATAATTATTATAGAATATACATCTGAAAAACTTGTATACTTCTGATTTTAGTTTGGAAAGAAATATGAATGTTGAACTGAAGTGTTTTTGTTTATTTACAGGACTGCGGTGAGCTTCGTCAGTGGTTTATATTGTCTGCTGGCTGCTGGTCTGATGTCCTGTAATCTACTTTATCAGATCATGTAACATATTACTGAGTGTTTTTGTTTATTTACAGGACTGCGGTGAGCTTCGTCAGTGGTTTATATTGTCTGCTGGCTGCTGGTCTGATGTCCTGTAATCTACTTTATCAGATCATTCTCATCTCGCAGAACGTCACGTCTCAGGAGATCCATATGGCCAACAAACGAAAACTAACCAAATGCTACGGCCTTAAGGCCACAGCAAACCTACATGATAGAGGAATATTCAAAAACATCCTACTATTTCTCACCTCAAAGAGGAACAGCATTGGTTTGATAAAAATATAGAAGAGTTAATTGTTTAAGCTGTCTTAATGTTATATATATGATAAAAGTATAGAAGAGTTAATGGTTTAAGCTGTTTATATATATGATAAAAGTAAAGAAGAGTTAAGGGTTTAAGCTGTATTACTGTTATATATGATAAAAGTATTGAAGAGTTAATGGTTTAAGCTGTCTTACTGTTATCTATGATAAAAGTATAGAAGAGTTAATGGTTTAAGCTGTCTTACTGTTATATATATGATAAAAGTAAAGAAGAGTTAAGGGGTTAAGCTGTCTTACTGTTATATATGATGAAAGTATAGAAGAGTTAATGGTTTAAGCTGTTTATATATATGATAAAAGTAAAGAGGAGTTAAGGGTTTAAGCGGTCTTACTGTTATATATGATAAAAGTATTGAAGAGTTAATGGTTTAAGCTGTCTTAATGTTATATATATGATAAAAGTATAGAAGAGTTAATGGTTTAAGCTGTCTTACTGTTATATATATGATAAAAGTATAATGGAGTTAAGGGTTTAAGCTAAATCCAAATGTAGATTTAGTTTTAAACTCAACACAGGACAGGTTTTCTGTGGCTTTTGGTGTATTTTATGTCACCAACAGTAAAAGTGAAAATTTTGCGGAAACATTCACATTTTTGCATATTGAGTAAATTAACACGGAAATATCCACATGCAAATATAATTTATAGATAGATGATATAATACATACCTGTCGGTAAATAGAATATATAGATATAAGGACTATTGCCAACATGAGTACTTTCCACAAACAAACATTTTCTCATTTGTAGATCGAGTGTTACACAATATTATTTTTCAGATCTCGCAGGTGAAAAACAAACTCATAGATTCTTTTTATTTTCTTCTGAAATTTTAATATTGTTGATCAATATCTTCATGATTCACCAAAAACCTCCGTAATGTCGAGGGTCTGATAACAGTTTTCATCTTTATTCCAAAAAGTCTAAAAATTGTGAAGGTACTTAAATTTGCATTATGCATTCATGAACAAATTGTGATATTAAATCCCTCAGGAAAGATAGCTGCACATGTAAGCAACCTTCACACGTTGGAAATGTTCGGTAGCTGCTACCCTGTGATCTCTGCTATAGCTCACAGTCTACACCTATACATACACATTGGACGTTCATTGTATGATAAATTTTACGTTTTTACAGCAAAAATATTGTTATGTAGCTGTTATTGTTAATCAGACATGTTTAAACATTGAAATCCTGTCAACCAGTTGTGACCATTTGTTGTGACCAGTTGTGACCATTTGTTGTGACCAATTGTGACCAGTTGTGACTATTTGTGACCATATGTGACCAGTTGTGACCATCTGTGACCAAATGTGACCAGTTGTGACCGTTTGTGACCAGTGACCAATTGTAACCAGTTGTGACCTGTTGTGACCATTTGAAAGCAGAATTTCCATAATTTCATGTACATATCTTTATAAAAATCTTAGTTCTTTTAAAAGGATATTTATTTTTACTGAAGTGTATCTGTTACAGTTCTGTTAAGTACTGTTAAATATTTGACAAATGTGTCCCTGGTTGCATGCCTTCCACATTAAAATCTTATTTATCTTTATAGTTATATATAGGGCCCCTTGCCTTGTAATGTTTGACTTCATTATGCAAAAAATAGTCCAGAGGGCACCTGCCTTACATTGTTTTAAATGTCATAAGTGAGTCGTCCAGCCTTATTATATCTGAAGAATTAGTCCCTTTGAGGGAAACCTGGCTGCCTTAAGATGTTTATAATATAGATGATAGGACACCGGCCTTACAATGTCCCAAGTCTAATGAGCATGGTTAAAACATACAAATGTGTTAAACTGTTGTCACTTATAATTTGTAACTATATGTCATATTTTCATCTTAAAATGCTCATACAATGTCATTATAAATAATGAATATTTTAGCAAATATTGTTTTTGTCCTATAACACACATTTCTATTGCTGACAAACTTACGTCAAGCCCTACAGAACTTGATTAAATTTGTCATCAAATAGCAATGTGTGTTATAGGACCATAATAACGTTTGTTAACATGTTCATTGCTTAAGTAAATCAACGTGAAAGGAAGTAGTTACATTATAGCATATTGACAATTGTGTAACTATTTAACCCTTTCACCACTGTAGACCATAATGGACTCATCCAGATCAATGCATGGTAATGTCTACAAAAGTTACATAGGGGTGAAAGGGTTAATATTTAAGTAAGCAGTGTGTTTGTTTTGTACTTTTATAGAATATTTTTGGAAAACCCGGGTTTCGGGCCATTCATGCTTATTTTTAGATCTATATATTTTTTTTTTCTTTTCTAAATTTAGGCCAAGGTCCTAATAAATCTTGAGAAAGGCTGCAATATATATAACAGTTTATACAGTAGATACACTGTACCACTATGATTCCACTGACTACATGTTTCGTGTAAAACAATTACGGTAAAGAGGAAATTATCGTAGAGAGGAAATGCTCTTGTGATCCCATTGAGAAAATTAGTGCGAAAATAGATTAGAGATGTAAGAATCCTTCTGAAAGTGATAATTTTTGCACTGCAATAAGTTTTAGGAGTCGCGTAACAGATCATTATCCACATGAGAGAATTTCCACTCTTATGGTATTCTAAACATTCGCATATCTCCCCCAGGTTTTGTCCGAACCACTTCAGGTAAAGCTATCGGACAGTGTACACGATTATTGTTAGCTTATTTTGTATAAATGGTGACCATTGATATTCTGTCATGTTGATTAGCGTGTATCAGGAATTATTGTTAATCTAATGCAAATGTGATCTTTCTCATAAAACTGTATAAAAAATGTGATTTATTTTTAATTATATAGGTAATTGTATATATTTATTTATATATAAGAGCTGCTATCTTGTTTTGTGATAACAGAACTCTGCCCTGTGTGATGTTTTGTGTTACACTCTCTGAGGGAGTGATATTGTGCCTAGAAGATAAAATGTAATACATTCACATTGAATTGTGTTAAAATGCAGCTGTTAAATAAGGTCATTTTCTGCTTGGGAAATGACATTCTATTTAAAGTGGATGTTTCTTGAATGTGTAATATTTTCATCCTGTTACCACCATTCATATATAGATTTGTTCATGTTAGCAGTTATTTACCATTTTACATTCCAAATGGGTCATTTCTAACATTCAACTTGGGTCATTACTTATACATTCCATTTGGGTCATTGCTTTCATTCCGCTGATTCCAGTTGGGTCTTTATTTTCATTTTTGCCAAAATAAAGATTTCGGGTTTTCGCCCTACACGATGATGGCAAATTCATTTTTAGCTCACCTTCCCGAAGGGCAAGTGAAGCTTATGTCATGGTGCGGCGCCCGTCGTTGTCCGTTAACTTTTCCTTTAAACAAATTCTTCTGAAGAACGAACATGATATAAGCTTCGTTGGTAGGAGCCAGACAAAGTTTGAGAACGAAAATGACCTTGACCTACTTTTAAGGTCACAGGGGTCAAATATGTCAAACGCTTCAAATGACTTCTTCTGAAGAATTGAAAGGTATAGAATCTTCATATTTGGCTGGTGGCTTCCTGTGATAGAGCCCGACAAAGTTTAAGAATGAAAATTACTTTGACTTACTTTCAAGGTCACAGCTGTTGAATATGTCAAATTTGTCAAACTCTTCAAAAGACTTCTTCTGAAGAACTGAAGGTATAGACTCATTACATTTGGCTGGTGGCTTCTTCGGATAGGGCCAAACAAAGTTTGAGAATGAAAATCACTTTGACCTACTTTTAAGGTCACAGCAGTCAAATATGTCAAACTCTTTAAATGACTTCTTCTGAAGAACTTAAAGGTATAATATTTGGCTGGTGGCTTCCTGGGATAGAGCTCATCAAAGTTTGCAAATGAAAATGACCTCAACCTACTTCAAAGGTCACAGAGGTCAACAACATTTCAAAGGATTTGTTCTGAAGAACCAACAGGAATGGATTCATAAGATTTGGCTGGTAGCTTCTTGGGATAGAGCTAACAAAGTTTGAGAAGGAAAATTACATTGACCTACTTACAAGGTCACAGGGAAAAATATGTCAGCAACTTCTGAAGAAGAACCAAAAAGCATAGAATCTTATAATATTTGGCTGGTAGTTTCAATAGATGGAGCCGACAAAGTTTGTGAGGGAAATATTTGTAGTGCAATATAATATTTAATGAGAATATCTCCTATTACTGCTTAAATATTCAGGTGAGTGATACAGGCCCTCTGAGCCTCTATTTACATTGAAAATTAGCAAACAACTTAAAATACATTACAACTTAATATACATTGTAACTAAATATGAGGGTCGAAATAACCATATTATGGGTTATTTACGGGGGCTTAAATTTTTGTGCTACAATGTATTGAAAAAATCGTGAAAATTTTCATCACCGCAGAAATATCCTGCTATACAGAGAAATGGATTTTACAAGAGAAGAGCAGGAGTTTGACATGCTTAAAGTTTTATGGTAGACAGTATTCTCCGGGTCCTTCTGTGTGTCACTGTATTAATTATTGTGTATATATGTGAGAGATGTATATTGTTTATACTGATTACAATACACAAGTCATCAATGGAAGGTATTTTATTACATACTTACTAATAAATACGGGTTTTATGTATATGCAATACGTCACAATTGCTTTAATCCATATCAGTCCTCGCCGTATCACACCCCAAAACCCATATCAGTCCTCGCCGTATCACACCCCAAACCCCATATCAGTCCTCGCCGTATCGCACCCCAAAACCCATATCAGCCCCCGCCGTATCGCACCCCAAAACCCATATCAGCCCTTGCGATACCGCCGTATCGCACCCCAAAACCCATATCAGTCCTCGCCGTATCGCCCCCCAAAGCCCATATCAGTCCTCGCCATATCGCACCCCAAAACCAATATCAGCCCCCGCCGTATCACACCCAAAAACCCATACCAGTCCTCCCCGTATCGCACCCCAAAACCCATAACAGCCCTCCCCGTATCCCACCCCAAATCCCATATCAGCCCTCGCCGTATCGCACCCCAAAACCCATATCAGCCCTCGCCGTATCGAACCCAAAACCCATATCAGCCCTCGCCGTATCGCACCCCAAAACCCATATCAGCCCTCGCCGTATAGCACCCAAAAACCCATATCAGTCCTCGCCGTATAGCACCCAAAAACCCATATCAGTCCTCGCCGTATCGCACCCCAAAACCCATATCAGCCCTCTCCTTATCAGCCCGCAAAACCTGTATCACATCCCTTTTGGGAGTTTTTCGTTTTTCAAAATTTCAAAAGAAAAATAGATAATAAGATAGAAGGTCTATCCGTATCTTATTAGTAAGTATGTAATAAACAGAATAAAACATGCCTTTTTCCATATCACTGTATCAACCCTCGACCAATATCAGCCACAATATATATCAAAGGTAATTTATCTTGATTTTCGCACATACATACATCCATGATTGCTGGACACAACTCCTCTAAGAAAATGTTGGGGTGGATTCCGAGTAAATTTCATGTAGACTTGTTGGCAGGATTTTAAGTGGATTCCATCATGATGTCTTAGATCTACCTTTGAACCTGCCAGCTAAGGCAGAAACCACCCGTAATACCCACTTCTCCAGGCAGAATCCTCCAGATCTCCATCTAAGAGTGGTGTACTGACAAGAGTAGGGAATTGTTTTAATATTTGATGTATGCAACGAACACCTGGTGTAAGGATTGATGAGAGACACTATTTTTGTTGGTGACAAGACTTCGTCTTTCTGCTTATTGGAGGGAATGGTTGTCTTTTCCCACCTCTGTACGAACGCCTAATCTGGCATTAGATTAATCATGTAAAGTCCGTGTTTATTGAAGATTAATTATACCTATAATTTATGACAAATTTACACAAGATTGCATTCTGGTAATGCTTAATGATGATTTTTCTAATTATTCCTTTTTTTTTAATTAATGATATATTTTTCTGGGGTTTTATACCTTGTTCAACTCTGTATATTATAATATTAGATGTTTTGATTAAAAACTTGCATGCTCATGTGAAATTATTTGTCTATTACTCTTTGTTATGAAGTATTTATATACAAATCTTGTGTATGTTTTAAAGACTATTATTGGACCATATTTCATCAATGAAATTATATCAGAAGTGTATTATATAGTCCACCTGAAAAAGCTGTAGAAGACAGAAAGGCGTAGCGGTCAGTCATATTGTTTTACGTTTTATATATATCTGGGACTAATGCTTGACCATGGTCTGACCAAAGGACCGAGACATCAAAGCTTCAGAAAGAGGGGTAGTATAAAGTGATAGTAAACATTTGTTGTTATATAAGATATGGAATTTGTTTTCATTTAATGTGAATTTTATGAAACCAGTCCAGAAATAGTCTTAATAACGTACACAAGATTTGCCGAGTTATTTTGTAAGTTTTATTGAAAACATAATTTCATTTAGGATGATATACCAACCTTATACATCTGTGTACAACATGTATAACAGGCTTTTGTATTCAGAGACAATAGACAGGACACTGACTTCCTTCAGTAGTTTCCGTTAAAGGTCTAGGCTACTACTCTAATGCATGGGGGGTGTTGATTACATACACAATGATTTAGGGTGTAACCTACTGGCAAGCATTGTAAGATGATGTTTTAATTATATGTGATAATTTGTTTGATACTTAAACCTACAGAATAAATGACATTTAACCCTTTCACCCCTATGTAACTTGAGTGAACTCTACCATGCATTATTTTGGAAGAGTCCATTATGGTCTGCAGTGGTAAAAGGGTTAACAAACAGTAATCTACTGACCATAAGGTGTTCTTCTCTGTGTTTGGGAACTGGATCCGACAGACTGGACACTAAATCATCACTAAATCTCATCATACTTCATTATGAAACATTTACATGCAGATATATTTTTAATGATTGAGTCCATTTTGACCCTAACGTGTATATATTTGTTTGACAATCCTTCACAGTCTGTAAACCTAGTAATAAATACTTTATACATGTTGATGTTACTTTTAACAGTACATCTGTTTGTCTTTGTATACAGTTGATGTTGAGGACACGTTTATAAAAACATGTATATTGTATAACGTAACTATTATGTGGTGAAGGCATATACACCTTACAACCAAACACGACTATTCTACGTTTAACTTTTTATATTGAATATTATGCAAATCATGTAAATCCAATATTGATTCTAGGTAGAATTATCAATTTTTTGTTATATATACCAGAAAAGTCCCCTTAGTATACATACATACATAGATTTATTCTGACAAAATTATGATTTTACAATCCTTTGATGGTTATAGCTCTGAAATAAAAAATAAAAATAAAAAAATAAAAACATATTTCAAAAGTTGCGAGGTTTAGATTTCTAGTTGTACAAGCGTGTGTGTGTGTAATCAACTGTAATCCTGTCTGTTACATTCCCGGAGTAAAACCCTTCCTTTATTAGTCTGTATCCATAGTAACATTCCATGAGCGCTGACTGCAGGGGTCAAAGGTCAACATGGCCTATTATGGGTGAAATTACTCTATAAACGTAATTTTTTCAAGTGCCAGCAAGCTGAGACAGTTTCATAATATTTTTGCTGAAAAATGTCCTCATAAAAATGACCTTGACCTACCTTCAATGTCGCAGGAGTCAAATGTGTTAAAATGCATTATAAATATTACGTTATATGGACCAGCAGTTTCTGGTATATATCGTGTCTACATCAAAGGTCAAGTTAAATTCTTGCTTGAGTTAAGAACAACCTGGACAATCAAAGAGAGAACAATACCCCTTTGTTGTCCATTGTCCTGATACATTTTACAAGCAGGTATCTTGGATGGAGCACTTTAGACTTTTTCCATATCAACTACCTTCACATTCTGTACTTTCAAGGTCAGTGATCAAATATGATCAAAACTTTCAACAGCTTCTTACAAGCTCAAAACATCTCATTGGAGCAAATATAACAGCTATTATTGGACATAAAGAAACCAGCTTGACCAACAAGCAGCTTAATTGTCACAGAAATTGTTTACTGGTTAAGTTTATTCACTGTGCAAAAAGTATGTTTAGGTGATATACAATGTGATTGCTGCATGCCCTTTTGGCCTGTTGTATATGATTGCTTAACATACCTTTTGGTTGAATTGCAAAAATTTCTATTATGGGTTAACAAGTAATATTTGATTATATCTGCAGCTAGAATTGTCTTTCATTTAAGCAATATGTAAATCCTTGACAGACAGAACACATCGTAAGTACATGCAATGCAAAGTCCAGTATGTGTTAATTATTAGTTGTGTGATGATACAGAGGCACGGTAGTCTAGTGGTAGGA